TTTACATGCACAAACTTGAGAATATTTGCCATCAGAGGACCTTAACACTTCTTGTGCAGATGATCTGGTTTTAGAAGGCTTTACAGGTGGCATTCTGATCAAATCTGTAATAGAATTTGTTCATAGATCAAAATTTCAATTTTCAAAAGTGAACTACATAATATGAATACTATATACCCTAAAGACACGCTCAAATTTTCTCTGAACAATGCTATGTTAATTTAAATATTTGATATTGTTTCTTAATTATAATTGAAATAAGAGATTATATATCATGTAGATCATGTGACTGGTCATGTGACCTTACATGATTACACAAAAAAATGGCAGCAAGACAGATAGCAGTTGAGTGGTCTATAAAAGGCTATCATGCATTCAGGGTGAGACCACATCCAGATATCAAAATGAACTTGGTTCCAGAACCACAGAATCCCTTTGACAGACATGCAATAAAAGTAATGATTCCAGATCTAAGAGACATTCCTCATCAATACCACAATCAGGAAACCAGACAAGGACAAACTGTTGCAAGCATTGCTGGACGCCAAGTTGGAAGGGTGCCTGCAAATCTTTGTAAAGTGTTTGGCGAGCTGCTTGAGAAGGCATTCACAAATGAAACAAGCAAATTCGTTGAATATATATCCCCCGCCGAGTACTGGTTATTATTAACACAACAACTGAAGACATAAGGCTTTATTTATATATTAATCATGGCATAAACAGTAATATTCTTTGAACTTGATAAATATTCAGGGCAATAACAGAGCCACACCTTTGTGTTAAATAGTAATATCTGGAAATGCCAATGAGATGTATGCATACCACATAACTAATAAAGGGCTATAAATCTGAATTATAAGTATCTGACCGGAACAAGGCGTCTATATGCACATCTCCTCTTAGTATCCCATAAAGTTTCATTGAATTCCAGCCAGTAGTTACAGAGAAGTAGCACGGAAACGACTATTGCTCTGGTTGTATACTGCCTAAGTTATCAAGGGTCATAACTCTAAGTTAAAATGTCTGACCAGAACAAGGCGACAATATGCTCATCTCCTCTTGGTATTGAAGGTTCCAATAAAGTTTCATTGAATTCCAGCCAGTAGTTGCAGAGAAGAAGTGAGGAAACAAATATTTTTCTATATGGATACTGCATAACTAATCAAGGGACATAACTCTGTGTTAAAGTGTCTGACCGGAACAAGGCAACGATATGCGCATCTCCTCTTGGTATTGAAGATTCCCATAAAGTTTCGTTGAATTCCAGCCAGTAGTTGCAGAGAAGTAGCGCGGAAACAATTTTTACTCTATATGCATACTGCATAACTAATCAAGGGCCATAACTCTGAGTTAAAGTGTCTGACCGGAACAAGCCGACGATATGCGCATCTCCTCTTAGTATTAAAGGTTCCCATAAAGTTTCATTGACTTCCAGCCAGTAGTTGCAGAGAAGTAGCGCGGAAACTATTTTTACTCCATATGCATACTGCATAACTAATCAAAGGCCATAACTCTGAGTTTAAGTGTCTGACCGGAACAAGCCGACGATATGCGCATCTCCTCTTGGTATTGAAGGTTCCCATAAAGTTTCGTTGAATTCTAGGCAGTAGTTGCAGAGAAGTAGTGCGGAAACGATTTTTACTCTATATGCATACTGCATAACTAATCAAGGGCCATAACTCTGAGTTAAAGGGTCTGACCAGAACAAGCTGATGACATGCGCATCTCCTCTTGATATTGATGATTCCCATAAAGTTTCGTTGAATTCCAGCCAGTAGTTGCAGAGAACTACTCCGGAAACGAAATTAGGACGGACGGACGGACAACGCCAAAACTATATCCCCCTCCCGATTCCATCGGCGGGGGATAATTACCTGCAGTTACCGTGGAGCAATTGAATCCTTTCATTCAATGAACAGATACTTGGCTGGGCCTTCTCATGGCCGCGACATTGAGGGTGGTGTACCAGAATTACAAAGTCGATATGAACTTTCTGTCAAGCCAGAAAACTTTAGACGGACTATGCATATTTTTGAAAGATACCTTTCACCTTCAGAACTGGACAAAATTCTATACTTTTTACTGAAGTACAAAATGTTTCCCAGTGCAGTTGTTTACCTTTAAAGAGTTTTCTTGTTGATCTTCATGCTTTAAAATAGACATCACTCAACATCACAGAAACGTTGCTTTGTTAAAACAATATTTCATTATTTCTTATTACAATAGATATTAGTACACTATTAAATGAAAGTGAAACTAATTCAAAAAGTGTAATTGTTTTCCCTCCAAAATATATATATCTCCTGATCGGGTGACATATTTCAATTGTCTCCCAATTTGGGGACATTCGCAAGAAGTGAGGAATGTCCCCCGATTGGGAGACATAGGTAATTCATAATTACAAATATAGGAACAATAACAACAATGTCTCTCAATCGAGGGACAATCTCCCTATATGGAGAAAGTCTCCCCATTGGGGATTTCCACCTAACTGCACATGTTACATGAGCTCTTTTTTCTGTAATTCATTAGAACTTTTGTTATTATGTCATTTATTTGTTTCAAGAACACATTGTTTTTCTAATTATTGTTTTAATAATTGACAAAGCTAGATCTATCATACCTTTGCATGCTTCGATCTGTATCGTATTATTTTACCTGTTTACATTGTTGTAGGATACCAGTAGGATGTTTCTTGGCTCTAATGGAAGGGATAAACCCGGGGTTTATCCCAGGATATAGCCAAAATTAGGCCCTCTACTTTTGACATATGTCAGACATTTCACTCCCAATTTGTCAATTGTACAGTAACTGTTGTATTGACATTGTCCAGGAACATTGTTCAATAAAAATCATTGGAAAAGGCTATCTAGTTCTGGCTTACTTAACTTTATGAGCCGCTTTTTATGCCCCCGAAGTGAGGCATAATAATATGAAATAAGGCAAAGCCTATGAACGGGGAAGTCGGGAAAAAAATCCTTTCATTTTTCCGTTTTAAAGGTGTCATTCGGTATTATATGTACCCACTTCCATTTTAACTTGGAACACTCGACGATTATTATTAATCCGAAAAGTTGAGAATTGTTCCGTTATCGGAATACATCGCCTTTTATCATTGACTTACATTGTAAATGGCGGCGCCTAACTAGAACTGACACTGAAAATTTCATTGATAGGTATAGAATTCAATATATTTTTTTATTGTTTTTTATTTGATTTTCTTTTAAATATACACATGTAGTCTATAGCCGGGCAAGCCAAAGCCCGGGCCCGCTTTGCGGGCCCGGACTTTGACTTCCCCGTATAATCCGTTAATCGCACTGTTTGTCTGTCCATCTGTCCATCAGTGCGTCCCAACTTCTTTCGTGTCCGGTCTGTAACTTTGTCATTCATTGAGGGATTTTGAAATAACTTGGCACAAATGTCTATCACATCAAGACCATGTGTCGCATCCAAGAACCAAGTCCCTTCCTGAAAGGTCAAGGTCACACTATCATTTGAAGTTTCACATTATCGCAATTAGAGTAAATAGGTACACACATTCGTGTCCGGACTGTAACTTTGTCGTGCAGCGAATGATTTTAAAATAACCAGGCATAAATGTGTACCACATCAAGACGATGTGTCGCGTCCAAGAATTACGTCTCTACCTTAAAGGTCAAGGTCACACTAACATTTTGAAGTTTCACATTATCACAATTAGAATTAATAGGTACACACAATTGTGTCACTGTAACTGTTTTTTTTTTGTTTGTTTGTTTCATTTTTACGCCTTTCCCCAACAGTATTTCAGTCATATAGGCGGGTAGTTTCCTAACCATCGTTTCTGAAGAGTTACACCAGTACTAAACTACCTTCCTACGCGCTTAACTACCAAAGCATCTCCCGGGGATCGAACCCACGCCAAAGAGGTAACTGGATAAGAAGTCATCGACTCTAACCCCTGGACCATGGAGGCGGTTTATCACTGTAACTTTGATTATTGGACGCGACACATGGTCTTGATGTTGTAGACATTTATGCCAAGTTATTTTAAAATCCTTCCATGCATGACAAAGTCACTGTAACTTTGTCATGCATGGAAGGATTTTAAAATAACTTGGCATAAATGTCTACATCAAGAAGATGTGTTGCGTCCAATAATAACGTCCCTACAGTGTTTTTTTCACCAAAATATTCGGCGAAATTTGGCCCCATTCCCCCTCAAAATAGTATTTTTTTTCCCCCCAAAGCCTAAATTTCCCCCTATATGACAGCCCGAATTTGCCTGCAATGAATATCGTTTTCTTTTTGCAACTAACTGCCAAAAAATGTTTTATTTTATGCCTGTTAGAGTTACTGTTAAGCAAGGTTGTTTACAAATCGTTCTCTGGTAGGTAAGGGGAGCTACTCCCGGCGTCCCAACAAGTTTAACATGCGACGCATCGATAAATTTAGATCAGTATATTAAGAAAAAGAGATGTATTTTAAACTTGTGTTGCAAGAGTTGCTCCCCTTTTCCACCGCAAAGAAAACAATATAAAATAAGTAAACAAATAAAATGCCCTCTCCTATTGCATTTTTCCCCCTCTTAAGTGCACCGACCCCCTTCCCCCAAAAGTGAAAAAAAAAAACACTGCCCTACCTCAAAGGTCAAGGTCACACTACCATTTTGAAGTTCACTTTATCATAGGTACACACATTCTTGTCCGGGCTGTAACTTTGTCATGCTTCAAAGAATTTTAAAATAACTAGGCATAAATGTCTACCACATCAAGACGACGTGTCGTGACAAAGACCCATGTCCCTACCTTCAAGGTCGAGGTCACACTTATAGTTTGAAGGTACTCATTCTCTTGAGAAGAGTTTGAAGATACACGTTCATGTCCGGACTGTAACTTTGTCATGCATGGAAGAATTTTAAAATAACTTGGCACAAATGTCTACCACATCAAGACAATGTGTCGCGGCTAAGGCTCATGTCTGTCCCCACTTACACAACAGTCTTGTCCAAACTGTAACTTTGTCATGCATAGAGGGATTTTTAAATAATTTGGCAGAAATGTCTATCTCATAACAACATTTTGTCGCTTCCAGGAACCACGTCCCTTCTTCAAAGGTCACACTTATATTTTGAAGGTTCATGCTATCACAATAGGAGATTACAGGTACAATAATACAAAGAACAATATTCAGCAATTAGTTACTTTCATTCTCTTTTCTTTTCATAATACCTGCATGCTTAAGAAACCTTTTCGGGGGCATTTGTCACTTGGGTGACAGCTCTTGTTAACATTTTCTTTTTCATGTGATGTGGCATTTATGTATTTTAAATCAATTTTACTATGTTAAATCTACTGTAAGGAATTGAATTAAAAACTCTGTATCTGCAATGACGTACTGTCATACATGTATTTCCGACAAATTAATATTTTTACATCAAAATCACTGCAAGGTGCTGCGAATTGTCAGCAATTTTTTTTTTAAGGCCAATTTGTGGTCAAAATTTGCCTCATTTCTCTCCCCAGAAAGTGTATAATTTCCCTTATTTCTGAAAAAAATCACTTTCCTCTTTCTCCTAACTGCATCTTAAAAGGAAAAAATACGGGACTTGTAAAATTGTACCTTTTTCAGAGGACTCTGCTTTTCAGAGCGTCCAATTTTCAGAGCTTTTACTGTATAAATAGTAACCTATAAAAATGGCAGTAAGTGCTCTTACTAAAGAGCTTGTAGTTGTACATTGTAATGCTATGGGAAAAGTGTGAATTTGCTCAGGGGTTACTAGCGTTATGTGCATTCATGTATTTACTGATCATTTTGAACCCTTCTTTGTGTTGTGGTATTATTGCATTGGATATGGTTTACTTTATTGTGAGAGGTTATGCCAGCTTTGTATCACATTCCATTCTTCCAGACTTGTTACTGGTGTCAACAAAAACTACCGTCTTAGATGATGAAGAGAAAGAAAGTGTTAGTCTGCTTTTGCTGTAGTCATTTTTGGTGTTACAGCAATTTAATCTGGGACTAGCATTTATATTTGCTGTGGAACTTACCCCAGTTTCCAAATGGGGTTAATTCTAATGTAAAATGACTTTGGGAAGTCTGGGAGCAAAGGGAAAATACATTTAGTTATTAAATGAAACTATTTCTGTGTACATGTATTCCTATTTTATTAACTTGTAATTACATTCTAATAAACGCCCACTCTAAATAAATGACCCTCCTCCCCATTATTTTGACAAAAAGAAAACTAAGTTGACAATACAATAGCAGTTCATCAAAATTTTTAAGGAATTAAGTATAGATTATAAAACAGCTTTGCATAAGTTTTACTTTCAGATTTTAGGATGAAAATAAGTTATTTAACCTATCTCACATCAATTTTTCAGGATAGGTAGGGCCCATCTTCTTGATCGAGTTGAAGTAACTGTTGAACAGATCACATTATCTGTTCTGGAACTGTAACCATTTTATTCTACACCTGTTTATTTGTGTTGCTTTGTGCAATGGATGAAGCATCAGGAGCGGGCTCAAACTCGAGCTTTCAACCCAAAGAGGAAATTATAAACACACTCTTAAGTCTTGGATTCTCTAGAAATTCTGCTATAAAGGTAAGCTGTATTTTATTGCAGTTTCTGTCTTGTTTTAAGGTTAATGTTAAGTCATCCATGCGTCTAGCTTTAAATTGGATGTGTCTTCTTAGGCAATCGTGCACCTTTTCTGATGTGTTCCTCAGCAAGTAAAACTGAAAAGATCCCATGTTATGATTCAGTGTGCGTTTTGGATAAAACTATGCAAAATCAAATGAATAAACAAACATCCTAAGTCTGTGTCTTCTTTGATATGAAGGATCATATTTACAACAGCAAACTCTATTTTCAATTGAATAATTATTAGTAATTATTACCACAGTAACCTTAACAGCCTTCCGTGTACTTTGTTATTTATGCAAATTAAAATTACTTTTAACTCGTGGGCCAGAAAAAAGAAAAGAAAATTGGGAATTCATGCAATATGTTATTTGAAAGTCAAGTCTTGAAACTTGCCCATGTTAGCTGTGGGATCTCATATCAATCATAATATTCATATACAGTAAGGTAGTCATTAATTAAGCTTACATTAAGTCAGTGGTTTTACTCAGTGATCTGCTTGTGAAAACAGGGTACATGAGGTCTTACTCCACCAATGGCTGCAATTGGGCCTCTTTCACAAAGTGTTTATTATAATTTTTGCTGACCTTCAAAGCTCTGGGTTGAAATCCTGCAAGTAACTTTGAATTTTTTCATGCAAAGAATGTATCTAGCTAGCTTTAACAGGTCAGTGTTTCTACTCTGGTGTCCCCTGGTCAATGTCACCAGTGCTAAAAAATGATTTTTTACACTTTTACTTATATACAACTTTTATTTATTGGCAAATGTCATTCAAATTTGGAAATAATATACCTTGGGTGGTCCTCTACCTTTGGATGGTGTCACTTTGGACAAGGTCAAGGAGAAATGCAACAGTATTCCTCCACCAGTAAAAATTTCTATACAACTATCCCAGTGTATTGTTACTTGAACCCACCCAAAAATAAAGTATGTAAATGCATTTTAGTAAAATCTGATGTTAAGATAGTAGATTTTAAAAAAATTGTCTCGTAATTTAAATTGTTAATGTATGTTTCTCATTAGGGGTGCTACTATACTGGGAACTACAGTGCTGACTTAGCCGCTGCATGGGTGATAGAAAATCAGGATAAAAATTTGGACGGTCCTCTGGAGGTAACTTTATTTACATTTAAAGTGTTCTCATTTTATAGTCTGTGAAAACTCAACCAACTTAATCATATTTTAGCTTGACTAATCAAAGAATAGGGAGAGCTGTTGTATACACACAGGCCTCTTCATCGTCATACTTTGTTTAAGTTTTTGCATGCAAGTTGGTATCTCCAAAACTACTGAAGGGAATGGTTTGAAACTATATGTTAATATGTAACATGTTGGGCACAAATACGATTACTCTGAGTTAAATTTTTACAGAGTAATGCCCTTTATCCTTGCTGTCAAGTACCGAGAATAGTCGAGAGCTGTGGCATAAGGACAGCTTTTATTTAGAAATCAAAATGTCTTCTTACATTTCATGAATAGACATAATTTATTATTATCACATTGTCCTATATATCTGATATATATCACATTTTCTGATATATATCTATAACCTATTATATATCACATTTATCTTTGAAGCATGATAAATCCTGATGAAATACTCGGCTCCGGCTTTGGTTATGTGTCAAGTGTACTTGATGCGAAAGATATTCTGATTTTTCACCTGTCCGTGTGATATATCTTATATTTACTATCCTGTATGTGATGAATATTTATAGGACGATCTTGAGTTTGAAGATGAAGATGACAGTGAGGAAGAATTGCCCGAGGGTTTTGACTTGCACAAGATGGTGTTTGTGGTAAACATGGAATTGAACATGGGTGTAGGTAAAGTGGCGGCACAGTGTGCTCATGCAGCCCTTGCTCTCCATAGAATCATGATTGATAATGCAGATAAATTTGGTGAAATGATGATGAGCTGGGAGCAGTTTGGGTAATAAGTTTGGGTTTTTTTTATGTTTCTTGTTTTTGTTTTGGAAAAATACATTGTATACTTTCTCTTCCAACTAATTTTTTTTTCTGGAGGGATTTCAAACAAAATTTCATAGAACTGTTCTTCCAAAGTGCATTCAGATGGGCACATTATGCAGTATGGTGTAAAGGATTTGTGATTTAATCATCTATAGCAATATCAATAATAATGCCCTGACACATATTGATTTATGATTTGATTATTTTTAGCTCAAGATTTTTTAAAAAAAATAAAAGCTATTGCTGCAGTCATGTTGCCATTTCTGCCAAAAAAAACTTGATTTGTTATTTATGAATGGATTGTCTTCATACTTGAATACAGCAATCCTTAAGACAAGATCTTCAAGCAAACCAAATTAATAATGACCTTCAGTCCTCAATGACCTTGACTTAAAAGGTCATATTATTTATTTGGCTTAAATTTTTGCTATGTTTGGCAATAACTTTTTGTAGTTGAGTCTTTGATCTTTACCCTATGCAGTATGCAGAGAAACAAAAGGTAAAAATCTGGCTTAATTTACCAGGACACAGGACAGTATACATAATTTTAATGATTTTCAATAGCTTCTTACAGAAATTCTATGAAATGAAAGTTATGTGTGATTCTTCAAAACTGCAAATTAATTTTGATATTTTATTTTCACTGCTTGTTCTTCTGTAGCAAAGTAGTTACTGATTTCCAACTTTTGTTAGATTCTCATCAAGCATGTTGAATTGTTTAATATAAAGACACTTTCCACTTACCTTGATGAATCCAGCTAGGTCTGTAATACTGCATAGAGAAAAAATAGATTATTAGGTGTGGAAAATTGTCATATATGCTTAAAAGTATCTTTATGACAAAATGTGTCTGTGTGTGCTTTTCAGTGAGACAAAAATTGTTTTAAAGGGAGACAATTCCGCTCAGTTGTTAGATTTGGCAAAGAAGGCAGAAGGAGCTGGTTTACCAAATTATATTGTACATGATGCTGGTAGAACACAGGTAAGTTTTAAGTGTAATAGTTATGCTAAGGTTATTAATTTTAAGATCTTTGATAGCACTGTCTATTCTCTTCTGGTATGTGTAAGATATGACTCATTATCTGAATGGCAAGAAGTTGGTCCCTTTAATCCCCTTTTTCATTCAGGTGTGTTCATATCCTATCATATAGGGGAGCTTTCCAGCTAATTGTTACTTAAGGTTGGTAGTTTTACCAATGTTACCCTGCAGTAAAGTTATTGCAACATTTTTCTTTTAAGAAATTAAGTTTGTACAGAATTTCTATTAGTTTGTATGGGAAGCTTACACCACTCTCTAATCCATTCCTGGAACTAAACAGTACTTAGAAATGATGGTGAAGTTATTGTATCAATATCTATAGTGCAGTTTGGCCAGGTTCTTTAGTGTTGGCAGCTCAAGATTGATATCTTGATCCAAACTCTTCTAAACTGCTAACAAACAAGCCTATTATGCATTACATACCCTATGTCCTAGTGGTAAAGGTTGATTAAGTGAGCTGTGTGGCCAAAGTTGTAAAGGTTGATCATATGGGCTTTTGGCTTAGTTGTAAGGATTTATCATTGGGCTGTGTGGCCAAGTTGTAAATGTTTATCATGTTGGATGTTTAAGTCTGATTGTAAAGGTAGATCAAATGGGCCTTTGGCTTAGTTGTAAAGGTTGATCAAGTGTTCTGTGTAGCTAAATTGTAAATGTTGATCAAGTGGGCTGTGTGGCCTTTTTGTAAAGGTTGATCAAGTGGGCTGTATGACCTTTTTGTAAAGGTTGATCAAGTGGGCTGTGTGGCCTTTTTGTAAATGTTGATCAAGTGGGCTGTGTGGCCTTTTTGTAAAGGTTGATCAAGTGGGCTGTGTGGCTAAATTGTAAATGTTGATCAAGTGGGCTGTGTGGCCTTTTTTGTAAAGGTTGATCAAGTGGGCTGTGTGGCCTTTTTGTAAAGGTTGATCAAATGGGCTTTTGGCTTAGTTGTAAAGGTAGATCAAATGGGCTTTTGGCTTAGTTGTAAAGGTTGATCAAATGGGCTGTGTGGCCTTTTTGTAAAGGTTGATCAAGTGGGCTGTGTGGCCTTTTTGTAAAGGTTGATCAAGTGGGCTTTATGGCCTTTTTGTAAAGGTTTGATCAAGTGGGCTATGTGGCTGAATTGTAAATGTTGATCTAGTGGACTGTGTGGCCTTTGTGTAAATGTTGATAGGGTGGGCTGTGTGGCCTTTTTGTAAATGTTGATCAAGTGGGCTGTGTAGCTAAATTATAAATGTTGATCAATAGGGCTGAGTGGCCTTTTTGTTAATGTTGATCAAGTGGGCTGAGTGGCCTTTTGTAAATGTTGATCTAGTTGGGTGTGTGGCTAAATTGTAAATGTTGATCAAGTGGGCTGTATGGCTAAATTGTAAATGTTGATCAAGTGGTCTGTGTGGCCTTTTTGTAAATGTTGATCAAGTGGGCTGTGTGGCCTTTTTGTAAATGTTGATCAAGTGGGCTGTGTGGCCTTTTTGTAAAGGTTGATCAAGTGGGCTGTATGACCTTTTTGTAAAGGTTGATCAAGTGGGCTGTATGGCTAAATTGTAAATGTTGATCAAGTGGACTGTATGGCTAAATTGTAAATGTTAATCAAGTGGGCTGTGTGGCTTTTTGTAAAGGTTGATCAAGTGGGCTGTATGGCCTTTTTGTAAAGGTTGATCAAGTGGGCTGTGTGGCTAAATTGTAAAGGTTGATCAAGTGGGCTGTGTGGCTAAATTGTAAAGGTTGATCAAGTGGACTGTTTGGCTTATTTGTAAAGGTTGATCAAGTGGGCTGTTTGGCTTATTTGTAAAGGTTGATCAAGCTGTTCTGTATGTTATTGATTCTAACTTTTGTGTTTGAAGTCCTTGTTCAAAGATCAATGAAAAGGGCTGAAAAGTTGTGAATGTTGGTGCAGGTGATTGGATTGTACATTTAAAGATGCTGTATGTTGTAATTAAGGATGTAACAACACTTAAATGAAATTTTATATATGTATATAATTACTCTACTAAAATTATTTTCAAACATCCAAGAATATGTTAAATATGTTTTGCAAATGTTAAAAGGCATTATATGTAATCAATGAAATATATGCATTCATTTCTTAATAAAAAGTTTGGCTTAGACTTAATAGAAAATAAATTCTGGTTACCTCCCTTCATTTACATGAAAAATGTAAATTTGGTAATATCTTTACAAATTATGCTTTTTTGAACTTACAATATTGACAAATCTTCATTTGAGCAACAAATTTATGATATAAAAACCATAAAAAATTTCAGTTACAGGATCTTTAACCTTTGGAGTTACCATATATTTACAGTGTTGGTTAGACCAATCCAGTGGCATATGTATTAAATCAAGTGGAAAAAACAACATATAAATATACATGTATATTGTTTAAAGAAATAAAGAAACTTTTGTACAATTTTGTACACAGTGATTAATGGTGAATATTTTTAATATGTTTATTTCAGATAGCAGCAGGCTCACAGACAGTGCTTGGCATTATGGGAAAAATTGATACAGTTGACTCTATAACAGGAAAGTTGAAACTTTTGTGATAGTTGTTATCAGAAGTGCTCGGTGGATTAGTGATCATTGTTAATGATAGTGAAATATTTATTGGCAGTGGATGCCTCAATGTCTTGGTTAATAAAACATAAAAATTAAGGCAGTGTAATTGGTAATGTCATTGCGGCTAAAAGAATATGGCTAGATGATGGCCAGCCTTATAGAACTGATAGCTGTAAATGCTTCTAAATTAATTTGGCATACCTCCAGATTAGTAAAATAAGATCAAACTTGGAAAAGATACATTAACACATTCAATAATACTAAGATAGTGTCACCTGGATTATAAATATTTATTAGGGCCGGGAATTATATTCAAAAACTGCCGAATATTTGAACATTGAAAAACAAATACTACTAAATTCAAAAAGAAAGAAATGTTTTGATTTTTTTTCTTTTTTTTTTACTTTCAAATTTCAATTAAGATTGTAAATTTAACCCTTTACTTGACCAGCCAGGTGTTTATATGTTTGTATAAAGCCTGTCAACGATTATTGCCAATTAACTGAAAAATTATTCATATATTTCTTTAAATGAATTAGTTTAGTTTGATTGTATTTCCACTGAAAATATGGGGAGCATACTGTACTGGGCAGGGTGATTCTTGTTTGAATAATAACTTACAAAAGAATAATGTCAGGTTTATGTAATTGGTAGAGACATTGCCTTTAGCAAGTAGATGAGCCCCATTTGATTTTGAGGTCAGGAGGCTAAAGGTCAAGGTCACAATGACAATGTAAAATCATTGTCTGATCAATGAGAATGAACCACTGGTGATTCATGTAACTTTATAGGGACTTTGCCCATGACCAGTAGATCAACCTTGTTAAGGCTGGCCTGTCCTCTCATTTTGAGGATTGCTGATTGAAGCTTAATGCACTGTTTTACCGGACCGTATATCTTTAATAATGATACCATTGGCGAATGTGTGTATTTCTTGTAAATGATGTGGAAAGGCAAGCATAAAATATATCACATCTGTTAAAAAATATGAAAGAATTATTATCCTGTATATTCACTCAGTATTTTAAATATCTTTAATCATAGAAATAAGAAAACGGTAAGAAAATCCATGTGTTTGTTTCACATTTTGTTATATATTAAAGTATTTGGAAGGATTTTAATTTTTATTTGATATATTTATTTCAAGTCTTTAACAATAAGATATGTTACATATTTAAGTGCTTTAAACAAATTGAGAACGATGCAAATTTAATGAGAAAATTTTCAGTGTCTATGCAAGTAGACTGTATTGTATGAATGCCTGAATAAATACAAATTATATATATGATTTTACTTAGTTGTTGTTATTTTAGGATTGATTTAATTAGAAAACATGGAAATTACAAGCTAACCAGAGACCCATTGCTATAAATGTCATATGTTTTTCGATGCAAGAGTCAGAAATGAAGTGCATTAGGCAGATATTTAGACTGTCATTTTTTTACCCTAGCTGGTTTTTTAACCTCACCTGAGCTAGCTAAGGATAAGCTTTTAGGATCATTGAATGTCCGTCATCCGACCACATTTGTTAACACTCTAGTGGTCACATTTTCGACTGAATCATCAAACTTTGTCAGGTTGCTTGTCTAGGTAATTGTTCATATGAGTTCAAACATTGGTCATCTCGGATGAAAAACTAGATCACAGGAGCTAAATCTTGTTAACACTCTAGTGGCCACTGTTTTGAGCCAAATATCATTGAAAGTGGTCTGAAAGTTTGTTTTTATGATTTCTAGGTCGAGTTCGAATATAGGTCGCCAGGGGTCAAAAACTAGGTCACAACGTCCAAATATAAAAAAAAACTTGTTAACACTGTAGTTGTCACATTTTTAGCTCGACTATACGAAGTATATGGAGAGCTTTTCTACTCGCCCCGGCGTCCGCGTCCGCGTCCAGATTTTAGATTAAAGTTTTGGTGCAGTAAAATATTTTTCACTATAACTTTGTCAATTCTTAAGGTATGAACTTCAAACTTCAAATATATGTTCCTTATCATCAACCACATCTTATGTGACAAGGTTCATAACTCTAGCACCAATATTTTCAGATTTATCTCCCCTTGAACTTAGAATTTTCCTTAAAAAATACTATTTTTTACTGATACTACTTTATTTCTTAAGGGATCAACCTCATACTTCAAATATATGTACATTATCATCATCCCCATCTTATGCGACAAGGTTCATAACTCTAGCACCAATATTTTCAGATTTATCTCCCCTTGAACTTAGAATTTTCCTCAAAAAATACTATTTCTTACTGTTTCTTCTTTATTTCTTAAGGGATCAACCTCATACTTCAAATATATTTACGTTATCATCATCCCTATCTTATGTGACAAGGTTCATAACTCTAGCACCAATATTTTCAGATTTATCTCCCCTTGAACTTAGAATTTTCCCCAAAAAATACTATTTCTTACTGTTTCTTCTTTATTTCTTAAGGGATGAACCTCATACTTCAAATATATTTACGTATCATCATCCCCATCTTATGTGACAAGGTTCATAACTCTATCACCAATATTTTCAGATTTATCTCCCTTTGAACTTAGAATTTTCCATAAAAAATATTATTTTTGACTGTAACTTATTTATTTCTAAAGGGATCAACTTCATACTTCAAATGTATTTACGTTATCATAATCCACATCTTATGTGACAAGGTTCATAACTCTAGCACCAATATTGCAAGAATTATCTCCCCATAAACTTAGATTTATTTACTAGAAAAATGTTATTTTTTATTTTAACTTTTTTATTTTTAAAGGTAACTACCTCAAACTTCAAATACTTATTCCTTATCATCAATTACATTTTATGTGACAATGTTCATAACTCTTGAAGCAATATTTACAGATTTATCTCTCTTTGACTTAGGATTTTCTTTAAGAAATATAATAACTTTCTTTATCTTTTAAGGTATCTACTTCAAACTTCAAATATATAGTTCTTATCATTACACAAATGTTGTGTGGTAAGGTCCATAACTCTAGCATGACTATTTCTAGAATTATTCCCCTTGATCTTGGAATTTATGTTAACAAATGTTATTTTTTTACTATAACTTAATACATAATTATACATACATTTGTAATTGATTTTTCTTTCATAGTTTTGTCCTCCTTACTGCGTCCAGTATTTTATTAGTCGAGCTTCGCTGTCTCCTGTGACAGCTCTTGTTTATTCAATTGTCAACAAACTTGGTCAGGATGCTTTTCTTAGAATTTGCTTGCATGAGTTCGAACATAGGTCATCTTGGATGAAAAACTAAGTCACAGGAGCTAAAAATAGAAAACTCTTGTTAACACTAGTGGCTATTGTTTTAAACCAAATATCCTAGAAATTGGTTTGAAAGTTTGTTTTGATGATGTCTAGGTAAAGTTCGAATATGGGTCAACTGGGGTCAAAAACTAGGTCACACTACCCAAATATTGAAAAACCATGTTAACACTCTAGTGGTAACATTTTTTTGACTCGATTGTCATCAAGTTGGTCAGGGTGCTTGTCTTGTTAATTGCTAGATGAATTCAAACATTTGTAATCTCTGATGAAAAACTAGGTCACAGGAGCTTAAAATGGAAAAATCTTGTTAACTCTCTAGTGGCTTCTGTTGTTATCCAAATATCCTGGAAATTGGTCTGTAAGTTTTGTTTTGATGATTTCTAGGTAAAGTTCGAATATGAGTCACCTGGGGTCAAAAGCAAGGTCACATTACCCAAATATGGGAAAAACCTTGTTCACATTTTTTACTCAAATGTCATTAAACTTGGTCAGGATGCTTGTCTTAGTAATTGCTCGGATGAGTTCGATGGATGAAGTGAGCGATCTAGGGATTGGCCCTCTTGTTTTAAATATTTGAAGACATCCACCAGAAAACAATGTGAGCCTATATCAAGGCTTTGGTCATTGTAAATTTACACAAGAATACTAAATTACTATCTAAATTTTAAGTCTATTTGAAGTAAGTGACCCTAATTTAAGCATTGACCTTTATGACCCCAGGTGTATGATTTATGTTTGTAAAGAAATGGGAAAAATGCTATATCCCTGAAATTTTATCTCTGGGCACTTCAGTTTCATACCGGAAGCCTTACTTAAATGATGTGTCCGTGGATGACCAAAGCACGTCTCTAGATGAAAAATTTCGCCGCAGTGCGAGGAACAGTGTAGAGAAATGGGAGTTTTACATGGGTTACTAAGCCTCAGACCGGCAGTAAATGAATTTGTTTAGTTTGATTGTATTTCCACTGAAAATATTGGGAACATACTGTACTGGGCAGGGTGATTCTTGTTTGAATAATAACTTACAAAAGAATAATGTCAGGTTTATGTAATTGGTAGAGACATTGCCTTTAGCAAGTAGATGAGCCCCATTTGATTTTGAGGTCAGGAGGCTAAAGGTCAAGGTCACAATGACAATGTAAAATCATTGTCTGATCAATGAGAAGGAACCACTGGTGATTCATGTAACTTTATAGGGACTTTGCCCATGACCAGTAGATCAACCTTGTTAAGGCTGGCCTGTCCTCTCATTTTGAGGATTGCTGATTGAAGCTTAATGCACTGTTTTACCGGACCGGATATCTTTAATAATGATACCATTGGCGAATGTGTGTATTTCTTGTAAATGATGTGGAAAGGCAAACATAAAATATATCACATCTGTTAAAAAATATGAAAGAATTATTATCCTGTATATTCACTCAGTATTTTAAATATTTTTATCATAGAAATAAGAAAACGGTAAGAAAATTCATGTGTTTGTTTCACATTTTGTTATATATTAAAGTATTTGGAAGGATTTTAATTTTTATTTGATATATTTAATTCAAGTCTTTAACAATAAGATATGTTACATATTTAAGTGCTTTAAACAAATTGAGAACGATGCAAATTTAATGAGAAAATTTTTCAGTGTCTATGCAAGTAGACTGTTTGTATGAATGCCCGAATAAATACAAATTATATATATATGATTTTACTTAGTTGTTGTTATTTTAGGATTGATTTAATTAGAAAACATGGAAATTACAAGCTAACCAGAGACCCATTGCTATAAATGTCATATGTTTTTCGATGCAAGAGTCAGAAATGAAGTGCATTAGGCAGATATTTAGACTGTCATTTTTTTACCCTAGCTGTTTTTTTTAACCTCACCTGAGCTAGCTAAGGATAAGCTTTTAGGATCGTTGAATGTCCGGCATCCGACCACATTTGATAACACTCTAGTGGTCACATTTACGCCTGAATCATCAAACTTTGTCAGGTTGCTTGTCTAGGTAATTGTTCAAATGAGTTCAAACATGGGTCATCTCGGATGAAAAACTAGATCACAGGAGCTAAATCTTGTTAACACTCTAGTGGCCACTGTTTTGAGCCAAATATCCTTGAAAGTGGTCTGAAAGTTTGTTTTTATGATTTCTAGGTCAAGTTCTAATATAGGTCGCCAGGGGTCAAAAACTAGGTCACAACGTCCAAATATGAAAAAACAAACTTTTTAACACTGTAGTGGTCACATTTTTAGCTCGACTATTCGAAGAATATGAGAGCTATTGTAGTCGCCCCGGCGTCAGCGTCGGCGTCTGCGTTGGTTAAAGTTTTTTGTAAAGTCAAATATCTCAATTATTGCTTGAGATATTCAATTGAAACTTACAATACTTATTTATAGTAACAAGGTACATCAATTTGGCAAGTTGGATAACTCTGCCTACAATATTGACAGAATTATGCCCCTTTTTAACTTAGAAATTTTGGTTAAAGTTTTTGTAAAGTCAAATATCTCAATTATTGCTTGAGATATTCAATTGAAACGTACAATACTTATTTATAGTAACAAGGTACATCAGATTGACAAGTTGGATAACTCTGCCTACAATATTGACAGAATTATGCCCCTTTGGAACTTAGAAATTTTGGTTATTTTTTTTTGTAAAGTCAAATATCTCAATTATTGCTTGAGATATTCAATTGAAATTTAAAATACTTTTTATAGTAACAATGTACATCAGTTTGCAAAATTGCATAACTCTTCTGCCTGCAATATTTGCAGAATTATTTGCCCCTTTGAAACTTAGAAATTTTGGTTAAAGGTTAAAGGTCTTCAAAGATATTTACTTGAAACTTTACACATGCACTTAGGGTCATAATTGGAGGGTCATAATTGTATGTCACTGACCAAGTTCCATAACTCTATCTTGCATTAAGGCTGATTCGTATCCCCTTTTCTACTTAGTCTCTTGGTTAACGTTTACATGCAAGTTTTACATATCTCAATAACTATTAAAGA